TTTCCCCTTTGGCTTTCCTTTCAAAACCGAGAGACCCCGAAATTGGTGGGGTTTTGGTATGGTTTTCCTGTAACACCACCAAAGCGTTTCCTGTATTTCCCCGCAAAATAAATCATCACCAACGCCGAAAAGGTGATGTTTGAAACCAAAAGGGGACATAGAGTTGAGTCGGGGTCGGGGGGGGATTTGGAGTCCTACGACGCATCCCACAGATGTCCTACAGTTGTCAAGGGCCCCCCAATCCCAGTGTCCAAAACTCCTCCCCCCCAGTCTCGGCGATTCTTGCGACCTTGTTTGGTCCCGTTTGGGGCTTATGAGGTTCTTTGTTTCTTTTTGTAGGCAACTGGGGGACAGCGACATACCCCTGAATATTGTAGCAATCCTATAGAGTTGAAAGTATCGATGCCTTTGGGGGGTTCTCTTTCAAGGGTTGGTTTGTATGGCTTCCAAACTGGTCTCGCTGCCCTCCTTCTAGGGGTTCGTTTAAAGGACAAACGGACATCCGCCTTAGTTTTGGTTCCGTGGGGGGAGGTTGAGGCTCTGGGGTTACATTACTGGGTGTATTAAAGTTAATCCTTTATTTGCTGCGTTGGTGGCACTGGTTTCACGCCATCAGCAACAGGTGGACTGGTTCCAAGCCCTTGAACCCCTTGCTCGCTTCGAAAAGCTTGCGATCGGAGCGATAAGTAGGGAATGTGGGAATGAACCGGTTTTGGGGATTCCCTTAAGGAAACCACCAGTTGGATGGTTTGCTTCGGGGTCATTCCATGTCTCATTCCCTGAGCACCAGCAAGTTAAACAAAAAAGCCAGGTAGAGCAGGGCACTTTGCTCCACTTCCAGTGGACGGGCTCCGACGCCAACAACAATAACAACGCAGGGAACGGGCGTGCCGGAACCGACCGCTCCAACCTCGTGCAGGCGTTGATCGTTTTGGGGGGTCGAACACTTGCGAAATCGGCGCGAAATCGGCAGGGAATGAGAAACGGAATGAGCCGCTTGTGGGGGATCTTTGAAGGAACGCCACCAGTTGGATGGTTGAAATCGGGGTCATTCCATGTCTCATTCCCTGAGCAGCAGCAAGCAAAGGAGATGCCTCAAACAAAGAGAGGCGCATGTTCCTTTTCTTGTTTGGGGGGGAAGGAGGCGGGGGGGCGGGTTGGAGTTCCATGTGAATCTGCAGGAATGCAACCCTAGGCCGGTGTGATGTCTTTTTCGTTGTGTTTCTTCTTTTGTACCGAAAGGACACCGCTGCGCCGTCATGCTCGGCCGTACATTGCCCTTTGAGGCAACGGTATTTTTCGCTGGGCAGCACCATGCATTGGTCTCATGGGCAGAGGTTTCCAACTTAAACGGAGCAATGATTGGTTATATGGGGAACTGGATGCGTCACGCGAATGAAGGCCCCTTAGTTTTCTTCTTCTTTTTTTTCTGTGAATACAGAGGCACTCGCCGACCAGACACCAAGCTCAAAATGTGAAGGGTTGAACAGGAGGTTTGTCAAGATGGGTGTGCCTTTCCTAAAGGGGATCCTCAAAGTGGTGGATCTTCCTTTTGGTTTCCCTTGAACACCACAAACAAGGGTAGCCTCAACTAAACTGACACACCCAAATGCCATCCATCCCTCTTTGGCCCTTGGCTTTGAAACTTCGCGGGGGGGGGCTTGGGCACGGTTCTGGCCATTGGGGAATTGCAAGGTGCAAACGTGAAGGCCAAATGGTGGAACGGCCTATCCCTTGGGCAGGGGAAACCACACAAACCGCAAGCATAGGGGGCGAAATGCCTCCTTCACTTTCGTGACAAGACCACTACCTGGTGCAGACTTGACCGAGTTCTTTCCTTTCTTGTTTTCCGCGGATGGCGAGTCGGTGAGAAGGTGTTTTCCGCATGGCCACAAGGGTCTTCAAGGTGGCGCCATGCGCGCCGAAATGTCCGAACCCTTGGCCCTCGGCCAAGCTCATTGCAGGGCCATCTTGAGAGTTCCATCATTTGCTTAAGAATATGTTTGTTGTTCCCCGGTTAGTCTTACAGGATATCAATTTCACTACTGGACATACTTTCCCCCATTTTTTCCAGAAACAGCTATAGCTATATAGCTGAATATACTAGCGACAGCAATGCTTCAAAGCTATGTTGAAACCCAAATACGTACTTGCCTCCCTGCCTATCTATAATATGAGCCTCCCCAACAAACTGCCGACGCTCACACATTCACATGTGTATGCACATGCATGCGTGTTCAGGTGCACCTTGAAATGGGAATTGAACTCAGCTGCCATTTGGGGATTCGAAGCCCTGAATTCAACTATTAAGCCACCAACCCCCAAGTAAGCCCGAAGCGGTTGTTGGGAGCTCCTTCTGCCGTGTGGCATTGAGTTGCTTTAGGGAACCACCTCCAAGGTGGTTGGTGGCCCTCATGACCTCTAAAGGATGTCCACCACAGAGTCCTTGACAAAAAAACTTGCGACCAGAGGGCACTGGTTTCAGTTGTTCCATTCATGACTGCTTATCCAGTTGAACAGCCCAGTAATGCTAGAACTTGATTAGTGAACCCCGTCTGATTAAAGACGCCCCGGTTTTCCTAACCGACTGCCAGCCAATACTGCTTTTAAAGGCGCCCACAAGGTTTGGCCACAACACAAAACAAAAAATGGTGTGTGTGTGTGTGTGTGTCTGTTTTTGACCAATGTTGATCGCCCGCAACCATTTGGCTCAAGGCCCTTCTGTACCATAGCAATACTCATGATTGCGTGACAAAGGAACCTTTGCAAGCCGCTTACAGGATTATACAACAATACAATCCATCAGGGACATCCATCCTCCAATCATCCATATTGGCATATTGGACTCTCTCCGGAATAGATCCAGGGACCACATAAACGACCTCGACTACCGCAAGGTACCAGTTCCCTTCTGGGATAGGTACCCCCGGCAGTGGGCCTCAATTTGTGGTAGCGGAGCGGGTTTTCCGCAGAGATCCAAGGAAAAATGTCATCCGATGGAGAAGGCTTCATGGAGGCCTATTCAAGTATGGCCAAATCATCCGGCTATACGGAGGAAACACTCAATTTATCGATGACCGCCAAGCAGCCGCCATCGTGCGACGGAAAAGTCAGCTGGTTCAGGTATGAAGAACTCGTGGACGACTGGGTGACAATCACCACGGTGGAAGCACCCAAGAGGACCACTCCTCAAAAGCAGACTCACAGGAGATGCTTACATGTACAAGGCAGTCCTCCAAAATGACCTTTTGCAAGATCCTGATGAAGGAGTCAACTATTTCAAGAACACGCTGAAGAAGTACTTCCTGAAAGGTGCGACCAACGTGTATCTGTACAGGCTCCTCAGTTTCTTCAATCACAGAAGGCAGAACCAAGAGTTCCTCATTTTCACATCCAAGTTCGAAATCCTTCTCATGAGATTGAAGGCAGCATGGATGGACTTGATGCCCGTCTTCACGGCACAGTCCCCAGTCCGTACAGGGATTCAAACAACAGAACAATTACTCGACATCAGCAAACAGCCGGTGCTCGAGCACCGCCTCCAGTCCTGCTAATTGAGGATGATCCGACAGTCCTCAGACAGTATATCACGGGAATGCAGGACAGACAGCGGGACGCATTTCCCTTCCGGGATAATCTCATTGCGCAGTTTTTCATCATTCAGAGTGAATTGTCAGATCAGCAGAGAGAAAGACTGACCAGTGCTATGTCACTGAGAAACATTTCACTCGAGAACTACTCCTATGAGATGCTGAAGACGCATTACCATGAACCCTTCATCACAACCAGGAAATCCATCCAAGATCCATCCATCCGACCTCAAGGAGGCAACCGAAGCAACACATTCTTCATCCTCGAACAAGGTGAATACGAAGGAGAAGAAGGCTTTTGGGTTGAAGATGAAGATGGACTTGAAGGATTCATGTCAAACAACGATGAAGAGACATTCTGGGTCCTCGAAGAGAACGATGCGTTCATAGCAAGAAAAGTGTCAGGGCGGAATTTCAGATTCAAAAAGAGAAAAGGAAAATCAGGAAACAAAAAGGGCAGTCACCAACGAGGTGGCTTCAAACCCTTTCGAAAAAGCGGTTCTGGCGGGAAGGCCAATATGGCCAATGAAAACTATGATCCCTACGACCAGGCATATTGGGGAAAAGGCAAAGGAAAGAAGGGAAAGAAAGGAAAATCCAAATTCCAATATCCCGATGATGGAAACAAAGGTTATCCATCCTATGAGAATGGCAAAGGAAAAGGCGGACATGACAATGGAAAATCCAAAACGTTCGCAGCCATCGCAGAGAAGCTGGAGGAGCATCCTGCCACGCAGCAAGTTGCTGAACTCCAAGAGCCTGCCTATGCCGGTTGGACAGACCAAGATTGGGATCAATCATGGACATGGAACGAACAAGGCTGGTACTCATCCCATGAGACATCCAGCAGAGGACAAGCATTCATGGCATTCCATGACGCATATCAGCAGCATGAGAAAGAAGCCATCCACGGGAAGCTGATCCAATCAGATACAGTTTCAGAACACAATTTGTCCGTAACAACAAATCACAGCCTTTTGGCAACAAAGCTGATGGCGCCTGTCATCAACCCTCAGCACAATCCGACCTATGCGATCCTGCACAACGGATGTACCAGATCCATGGGCAGCTGGCATGCAATCCAGCGCTTTGCTCAGGCCATCGAACCCATGAAGCACCGCATCTCCTATCAGTACATCCCGGCCGAGACCAAGTTCACTTTTGCAAACGGAAAAACAGCCAAGGTAAATTGGACCTTGCATCTCCGATATCACACAACTCCTCCATGCAGTACCAACATCGACGTCCTTGAACAAGGAACTGTACCGATCCTCCTCAGCATCAGTCAGATGCGGAACCTCTACATGACCATCGAGCACACACCGCAATGTGACAAGATCACATGCAAGGCCTTTGGCATGGACCGTCAAGCAGTTCCAGTATCCGGTACAGGAAATGCACTCGTCGACCTCGCTGGAGTTGCAAGAGTGAAAGCACATGGAGAAATTGCCATCAAGGGCCTCACCAACTACGTCTACGATGATGACAACAGCATCAAGTTTCCCTCCGGGAATATCTCCAAGAGTGAAACTGTTTGTGCATCCAAATCATCCGAGACGAAAGATGACCTAGCAACTCCTAAACATCCGTGTGCACATCACGCCTCGCAAGGCGCTGTTCACACCAAATGGAGCCAAGGAATGTCCAATCGATCCTGATAACATCAGCCAAGAGCGTACCACGGAAATCATAGATGCATCCGAAGGTGGAGATCCAGAAATCCTAGAAGACAATTGGAGACTTACATCCCAGGCAAACAAACCATTGATTAACCTGTGGAAAGGTAAGACCATTTTCACCTTCGCGGACAATTCGCTTAAGGACGAAGAAGCAGGTTCCGGATCGGCAGCAGACAGGATCATCGACAAGAAGGGCCGGTCGACCATTGAGCCAGATCCTTTCGCACCATCCACAGATGAAGCAACATCGCTTCTGCCCTAGGCAGAATCCACAAGCGACTGTCAAATCCCGAAGAGTTGAAGAAGCTCCACCTCCAGCATCATCACATGACAACAGATCAATTTCGATTCAGAACTCGCTCGCTTCACTTGCCAAAATCAACAATCGATCTATTTGACAAAATCCGAAGTGAATGTGAAGTTTGCCAAGCGGCAAAACAAGCACCATCACGAAGCAAGACGAGTGGACTTAGAGCGGACACCTTCGGTGACATGACATTCATTGATCACTGTCAAGTTCCTCTTGGAACAGGAGAACACATCATTGTTTTTGTCATCCTGGATGGAGCAACAACATTGCTCACTGCAGAGGCAGTGACAACTACGCAAGAAGTCGAGAACATCACTGTCCTCAGGAACTATTTTGACCA